GAAGGGCACCCTTTCGTCAGCCAGCCCCCCGCGCGCCCCTGTCCCCAGCAGGATGGCCAGTCTGGACACCTACCTGCGGCAGCCCTGGGGGACCGTGCACGGCATCCCCATGGTCAGCGCCTTCACCCCCAACTGGGAGCGCATCGACGCCTTCCAGAGCCGCCCCGAGGACATCGTGGTGGTCACCTTCCCCAAATCTGGTGAGCGTCCCCAAGCCCACCAGATGTGGTGGTCCCGGGTGGGTGAGCATGTTGCATGGTCGGGACCCGCTGCCTGGGGGGACGTGGCACATTCAGGGCCGTCGGGACAGAGCCGTGCGGGATTTCCCTTCACCCCCACGAAACCCAGTCGGGGTCTGGGGGTTGTTGGTGCTGAGACCCCCAGTGTCACCCTGGGCACCCCCCTGGTGGGTTGCTTTCCCCAGGCACCACCTGGGTCAGCGAGATCGTGGACATGATCCTGCAAGGCGGTGACCCTGAGAAGTGCAAGCGGGACATCATCAGCATGAGGGTGCCCATGCTGGAGTTCTCTGCCCTCGGGGAGTGGCCGGCAGGTAGCAGGGTGTGGGGGCTCGGCCGCAGGTGCTCTGTCAGGGGCTGAGCCTGGGGGGACTCTGCCAAGGGCCCTCTGGGAACATGCTTTGGGATCCCCCAGGGACGGACGTGCTGGCCACCATGCCCTCTCCCCGCGTGGTGAAGACCCACTTGCCTGCACATATTCTGCCCAAATCCTTCTGGGAAAACCGCTGCAAGGTAACACCCAACCCTGGTCTCTGCCTCGGGGGGCATCGCAGCCCCCCCAATTCCTCTGAGGCAAGTCCCCCAGCTACTCCCTCCAGCATCCTAAGTGGGGTCAGAACTGGGGGCTGGAGCATCCCCCCTGTTGGGGGTCCTGGGGGTGCTCCTTATACCCTGTGGCTCCTCTGCAGATGATCTATATGGGGCGCAACGCCAAGGATGTGGCCGTCTCCTTCTACCACTTTGACCTGATGAACAAGTTCCAGCAGCACCCTGGGACATGGGCCCAGTACCTGGAGGAGTTCATGGCCGGCAGAGGTGGGACAGGGCACCCCTGGGGGGAGTCACCCCATATCTCTCCACCAGCCCCCCCCACTGACACCCCCTAGCCGCTCTCCCCCCACACTGGCGTATGGCTCCCGGTGCGACGTGGTGTGGAATGCGGGGGGATGGCAGGGGGTGAGCATCGGCCTTTGTCCTGCAGGACCCCCGCCAGGAGATCGCCAAGGTGGCCCGGTTCCTGGGGCGGGAGCTGCCGGAGGCGGCGCTGGATGCCATCACCCGGCACACCTCCTTCGAGGCCATGCGGGACAACCCCACCACCAACTACAGCACGCTGCCCTCCCACTTCATGGACCACGGTGTCTCCCCCTTCATGCGCAAAGGTGAGCGGCCGGGGTGCTCTGGGTGCATCGTCCTCCCCAGCCCCTGCTGATCCCCATCTTGCCCGGCCCCAGGTGTCACCGGAGACTGGAAGACCCACTTCACCGTGGCCCAGAGCGAGCGCTTCGACCAGGACTACACGCAGAAGATGGCAGGCACCGACCTGCGCTTCCGCACCCAGATTTAAGAAAGCGCCATTGCGTGCACCCCCAACCCACCCCCATCAATGCTGCTCCCCGGCAGGAGCTCCAGCACCACCCCAGCTTGCCTTTGTCTCACTAGGCTCTCCGCCCCAGGGGGACTTCAGCAAAAATAAAGGGTTTTATTTCTGTGTCTTCCCCCCACATTTGCCCCTGTGTGAAAGCTGCTGCATTGCTACAAAGCACTGTGGAGCCTCATCCCTCCTCGCATCACCCCTGTCCCCTGTTGGCCACCCTGGACATGCATAGAATGCACCTCTGAGGCGTTTTTTGGAGGAATAAAAAAGCCAGTATGTGGTACCGAGGCATTTCCAGCATGCGACGAATAAAAGTTGTTAGCAGCTCCCACATGCGCAGCTTTGCCATGGCCAGGGCTCACGTAGGGTCTCACTCTATCTCCTACCTCAGAAACCCCCCTGCTGGTGTCACACTTTGAGGGCGGACAGGACAGCACAGGGCACAGTGATGGTCGTGCCCCCAACTTGCTGCTGGGGCCATGTGGAAGAGATGAGGTGAGCGGGATGGGGACAAAACCAGCCCCAGGGTGGCCTGGAGATGTACGCAGCCTGGGGAGCTTGGGACCAATCCTTCCACCCAGGAGCAACAAAGCTGGAGGCAAAAGGAGGATTTTGCTGGTCGCTTTTGTGCTGTTCTGCTCCCAGGGACCTGGAAGCTGCTACGCTGTGCCAGTCTCCCTGCAACCGTGTCACCCACCGGGTACTGCGAGTCCCCAGGGGCTCGGAGGAGAGGGTCCCCTCGGCTGCTCCCCTTCCCACCCCAGCTACAGGGCACGCAGCAGCGCTGCGGCACACGATGCAGCCAGGGGGCTGGAACAGCATTGCTGAAAGCTGATGCTTTTAAAATAGCTCTTTTTATGTCACAGTCATTTAAGAAAAGGAAATTGCAAGTCGGACACTTGTGTGGTCCCGGTTCCTCGGATGCTGTCCTCTCCTGCCCGTGTTCATCAGCGTCTCTCCTGTTTGGTACATGTGCAAGACAAGCTTGCCTACAACCTGGAGGAAATACTGGTTGCTAGTAGGCACGGAGCATCTCTGAAGACGTGAATTCTTTCTCAGGAGTGGGTGAAATAGGCCAAGAGGTTAAATAAAATGACCGGGGACCTGGGGAACAGGCAAAGTGACAGGGATGCAGCCAAGCACAAGCCAGCACTGAAACAGGGACTATTGGATGCGAAGAAGCACTGCTGTGCTCCAGGGATGAGCCTGACAGTCAGGTGGGGCCTGTCCAGGAATACAGGCAGCAAAACTGAGTTCAGTCCCCTCATTCAGCAAAATGCTTGGAGTTTGGCCGTTAGGTACCACAAACCCAACAAAAGTGTGGGTGGTGGGTGTCACAGCAGAGATGGGTCTTACCTACCCGGGTGGGTGGGCAGAAAGCAAGGAGAAAAAGAGAAGATACAGAACTGCGATCCCTCTTTGGAAGAAATGTTATTTTAAGTCGTAATACAATAATTGAAAAGCGTTCCTGGTTCTCTCTCAGGTGCTGGGAACTTCCGTGTATTGTATGAAGCAGTCTGTGCATTGCTGGGGCATAGTGATCTGTTGCAGAACGATCCAGCAGGTTCTGACCCTCGCTGTCCCCTCTTACCTTGCAGTCTCAGTGCAAATAAAACTGAGCCAGAGATGCCGGAAGAGGAGATGGCAAAAATAATTCAGGTAATTACAGACAAGAGCAGAGGTATCTTAACTGGTGAGCGGTGGCTTCAGCCGCTGCTGTCGTACAGAGAAGATGTCGTGTAGCAAAGCAGCTCCTGAGACAGATGTGGTTCCCTGTGTCTGGTCACTGTGTAGTTTTATCTTCTATGAATACGCCTGTGAAGCCCTGACTCTCGTGACATCCACCACATCCCATAGCACATTGTACCTCTCCTGGGGATTTACTTCCCCCCCCCCCTGAGGAGGCACTGCTGGATGCCCCCCAAATCCCACCCATGCCAATGGCACCACCGCCGTGCGGGGGGCTCCTTCCCCCTCTCCTGTGACTGCTGGAGAGAAATAAAGCTTCCACCTTGCCCCCCCCACGGCATGCTCACTGCCCTGCGACTGCGCTGACCCTGACCCGGCCGTCCCCCCACCACCGCTGGTCTCTCCTCCGGCTGGGGACAAGCCGGGGCCACCCCGTGTCCCCGCAGCCGCCGGGGCGGGGGCAACTCAGCCCCACCAGTGCGCATTTTGGCCCCGCTGCTCTTGGCAAGGACTGCTCCTCCGCTCATGTCAACAACTTGTTCCTCTGTAATTTGTTCCAGGTATTTTCTTCTCTCCCTAAATCTCTTGCAAGCCTGTTTGCTGCTTCTTGGGCATAAAGCCAGGCCTTCCAGTTGCCCCTGCTTTGCTCCTTAGATGTCTGCGTTTTTGTGGTAGTACACAGATGTATTTCTTGTTTCCCCAAAGCATCTCTGATCTGTTAGATTACTCTTTAATGACACTTCTTTCTTCTTCATAATTCAGATAGCAGCTTCTGTAAAGTGTATAGGGGCATAAAACATGGTTCAAGAAGTGCTTTTGTTCAGTACTCTTGATGAGAACCGGGGTTTTTTGTATTGTGTCTTTTGTCCCTGGGCTCAAAGGCAACCCTGACAGCACCTGCCCTCACTGCTGTAGAAAAGGTGCTTGTTAGCAGCCGAAGAGGTGCAACGTAACCAGCTAGGGGAGGCTGAAATGCAGTGCCCCAGAAGATTTGTGTAGACCCAAACTGCTAGGACCCCAGGAAAGAAACAAGTATTTGGTTACGAGGCCAGAGGAGAGATCGCAAAAGTAACTTTGTGCTTAGAAGCACCATCTAGCAAATCAGGGCAGGGTGAGTGCAGCTCCCTTGTAAACAGCCTTGTAAAACCAGGACTTTGAATCCCTTGATATGAACGCAGTGCCTCTCCTCCCGCTGCTTGTCGATGTCGAGGTGTACACATGGCAGGTGAGAGCCTGTCGAGGCGTGCACATGGTGGGTGAGAGCCCCGACGGGGACCGAGAAGCCTTCCTCACAGCCACGCACAGACGCCACGGACCACAGAATGGGTTTGCTGCTGGCTTAGATGCAGGAGCTCAGGTGAAGTCCTGGCTGCTCCCAGGAAGA